TTTTTATTTATATTAAAATAGAAACCCAAACCAATTAGGAAACTGAAACAGGGCCCAAATCCGCGATCCAGTCGACCGGGCGTGAGCATCCGGTCAACTAGCCAGAAGGTCAAAATTTAACCCTGTAAAACAAACAGGGTTCGGTCGACCGGGCTTCTCCTCGCGGTCGACCAGGCTTCTCCTCGCGGTCGACCGACCAGAAGGGCTGATTTCTCAGTCTGTAGTGTGTATGTTTCCGGTCGATCGGCCTAAGCTCGCGGTCGACCGGCCTGCACCAAAAATTGTCCATGTTTCGTTTTTTCTGTTCTCTTTCGCAGTTTTCGCCGTTTCTTCACTTCTGTCGTGATCACAAGGTCTCAATTGAGATTTTTTTTTTCCAATTCCATATTCATCCAACTTTATCCTAGCCACAATGCATGGCTCTTTTAAGCCTTTTGCTAGCAAATTAAGGGAACACAACTCGTGCCAATTAGGCACATGTCAAGAGTCAGGGCTAAGTTTGCACCGGATATATTTTTTCTGATTATTAAAGTTAGACATGGTTGAGCCTAATCATGTAACAGAAATTGATCAGCAAATATGGCTAGGAAAAATATGTGTTGGGTTTGGATCATGTGTAAAGTGGTTTAGAGCATATTTGGCAACTAGTCAGAGTGGTTTATAAGTTATTTCTATAGCTTATAAGCCAATAAGATATGTTTGACAAACATCTTATTTTAGCTTATAAACCAAATGATGATGATGATGATGATGATGATACTGATAATAATAAGCTGGGGTAACCAAACTTATGTTTTGGTGGCTTATAATTAACTCACAAAGTTTGACCAAGCAAAAAAAATCACATTACCCCTTAGCATTTAAAAAAAAATTTAAAATCCTTTTTCTCTATCTCCACTCATTTTTGGTCATTTTGATAATAAGAATGGATTATAAGCCACTCATTTGCCAAACACGCTACCATTGAAAATGGATAATAATCCACTAAGCTTTTAGATCATTTATGAATTATAAGCCAAGTGGATTATAATCCAAACTTACCAGACATGCTCTTGATCTTAGTGCAGACGGCTAGATATTTTGTAGGGTACAAATCTCATCTAATCTAACACTACTCTAAAAGTGTAAAGAATGTTAAAACTTTTTTTTCAAAAATACCCTCAATAATAATATCAATATGAATAATTAATTATGCTAAAAATAAAATAATACTTTTAAAAAAATGAAGATAATACTCAATTATTGAAATAGAGAACTTCTAGAGTTTTAACTATTCATCATCTGTATAATTAATCCTCCATATATTACAATCAAACGTCCCGTTAGTCATCCATCTCTTTAAATTTTGTGTCCCCGACTTCTTTTATTTACTAGGTAACAGGCACGTGAAAATGCACATGGTCACATACCTTGATATTTTTTTCTTTTGAGTTCATTTCTCGAGTATAATGTGTTGTGAAATAGTTTGTAGTTACCATAATTAAAAAAATTTATTAAAAAACCTACAAAAATAGAAGTGCGAGTTTGCAACTACAATTATTATATTTATTACCATATTCATGTGGTTCTTCTGATAATTTGTGTTTAATAATGCTAAAGATGGTTTCTTGAGATTTATGAGTTGAATATTTATGAAGTCTTAACTCTTTTTACAGTGAATGGTAAGCTATTAAGTGGTAACTCTAGAAAATTTTCATTTGAATCTACTTATTAAGATTTAGGTACATATGAGCAATTTCAGTATTTTGAAGGATTAATTTTGAAATATTAACGATTGAATGAACCAATACCATTAAGACTCTTATTATTAAAATTACAAAATAATGTTTTCAATTCATCTAAGGAAAGAATAAAGTTTAAAATCAAAGCAACACTATTATTTTTAGTAAACCTATTTATTATTAGCTCACATTTATAAAGGAAAAAAAATCCAAACAAGTCTGCTCCCAATGAGCTCTCTCATATTGCCAATTGATGGGACATAAATGATATCCCAAAAATTACAAGTGCACAACCAATCAAGTTATAGTATAAAAAGTTATCGATCCTACGAGGAAGGTGTCGTAGGAATAATTAAAACTGGTTCTTATGTTGTGTGCGTGACAATTAGGAGTGATGGATGTGTGTGATTGTGAGGAGATATGAGGATTGTTGTGAATATATGAAGTGACAATAAAAATGTGATTGAGAGGAGAGAAGAAAGAATCAAAGGAAAACTAAAAAGCAAGAATAAAAAGAAAATTCAAGAAAGTCAAGATGGAGGATTCAATTAAAGATATGATGAATCTAGAATTGAATCCACTAGCTAATCTCACTTATAAGATATGAATCATTTTTTTTTTCACATTCTACTTTAGATTTATTAAGTATAGATTATCAAACCACTCAAGGGAAGTATAACCTATCAAATTATCATCCAAGTAAAATTATTACTTACAAAAAAAATAACAACTAAATAGTAATTCTAGAATTCTTTCTACCAATTAGTTCTTTAGTTGAATATCCTAAGCATGAATATTTTAAACATGAGAGAATGATTAACAAATCATAAGAGAAATAAAGCTAGTTTCATGCAATTTCTAGAGTTCAAATAAGAATTAATTGCACATCTAAGAAAAGGGCAATTCCCTAGAGGGTTCTAGCCTCAAGGTGAATCAAAGAAAATAAAAACAAGCAAAAAGAAAAACTAATCTCTAGAGGGTTCTAGCCTCAAGGCGAATAGTGCAAGAAGATAAAATCTAATCTACAAAATAAATTACAAAAAATAAACTACACAATAAATTATAAGAATTAAATGCTAAAAATTAAAGCAAGAGAATAAAAGCATGAAAGTAAATCTATACTACAAGACATTAATGTAAATCTAAACTAGCAAGAGAATAAAAGCATGAAAGTAAATCTATACTACAAGACATTAATGTAAATCTAAACTACTAAGCAATAAGAAAAGAAATAAAAGAGAACTACAAGACATTAATGTAAATCTAAACTACTAAGCAATAAGAAAAGAAATAAAAGAGAAAATAAAAACAACACTCCAAATTGATCTTCATCTTCATCTTCATCATCCAACAAAGAGAAAAAAATATGAAGTGGTAGAAAAAAATTATTTTATTAATTGTAACAAAAAGTTACAAATTTGGAAGATATTCTCAATTAAGAGTAACCCTCCTCTCCAAATGAAGATACAATATTTTTTACACCCTCAACCCCTCACTCTCTACCTCTATTTATAGCCTACAGCAATGAATAAGAGCCATTGGATCAAACTTGAGCCCCAAGACACTCAAATCAGCCTTTAAATTCGGAACAGGAACAAGGCATCGCTGCTGGTATCGATGCTCCTATCAAAATTCAGACTTCATAGATGGCTTCGTCTCGTCGAGATAGGCGATTTTTATATATTATATGTTAAATTCCGCCTTCTAGATTAGGAGATATCATCGTTTCTTTGCGGCCAACCATCTTAAATATAATTTCTTTTCATATTGGATTTTTGATTATCTCCGGCTTCTACAGGCAACTCGGCTTGATTTTGAGCTTCAACAAAATGTTACAAAATAATGAAATTGGAGTCTTTTGGGCTTTTATTCATTAGTTCTTCATTAACCTGCAATTAAAGATAAAAAATAATTATTAGTGGTATATTTATTCATGTAAAATAGATAATGAGCGTATAAAATTGTAATAAAAATAATATCATCACCAATAAAGACCAAAAATTGCTAGCCTCAATTCTTCGACCATATAATGTGAAGAAAATTATACAGCTTGAATAGTTAGAATACTAAATCACAAATGAACCCTGTAGGAAAATATCAACTAATAACATTTTTTTTGTGAAATAACATATGTGCTATTGACAGACCTCTCAAAATATATTTTTATGTATTCTTGTTTTGTATTGCACAGGAAGTTATAATATAGGAAACCTTTTGACATTTCAGCTTTGGACACACTCATTTTGCCATGTCATTTCCAGTTCATTTGTAACTTTATAATTTATTTTCCTGATGAGTCTTATCTTGTGTCCCATTTTATTGAGTGACTTGTCTATGGTACCTTTGATTTTATCTACAGTATAATAGATTTTATTGAATTTGCCATGTTAATTGAGTTTAAAAGAATTTTTTTGGAGTTACAATGTAGAATGGAATTATAATGTAGAACGACTGCTACTTACATAGATGACATAGTCCTACGAGAATATTAAAAGAACATTGAAGTTGTTTAAATGCTTGCTTTGAAAATGTGAAATATTTGCTCAAGAGAACATTGTTCCATTAATCCACATCAATAATATTTTGTATGTATTTGTATCTTAGGAAATTAAGCACAAAAAACTTGTAGAGGCATCGACCATTAGCAAGGACACTAGTACAAAACAGGACAGTCCAAATGGTTGGAACCGTTTGGGCAAATACAGTCCCAAACGGTTATAACCGTTTGGCGAAAAAAACCGTTTGGACTGAAGCCGTTGAGGATGAGTCTACCCCAACGGTTGCCCAAACGGTTCTAACCATTTGGACAAAATCCCAAACGGGTTATAACCATTTGGACAGAGTCCCAAACGGTTATAACCATTTGGCACTTTAATAAATTTACAAACAGTTTAAACCGTTTGGCCAAAATATTGTCCAAATGATTATAACCGTTTGGACAAATTTTTGCCAAACGATTCAACCATTTGGCTAACTTTCTGTCCAAACGGTTGAAACCGTTTGGACAATATTTTGGCCAAACAGTTTAGACCGTTCGGCCAATTGTTTATCCAAACGGTTAAAACCGTTTGGGTTGACAATTGGCCAAACGGTTTAAACCGTTTGGACTGATTATTTAATATTTTTTAAATTTTGGTTGTTTTTATCTACCTGCTTACATTTAATATACATATTTCACACAATGATTACTCAATATCTCACAATGAAATCAAAAACATATACATATACAAAAATGTCTCAAACGATGCTAAATATCCAATATTTTATATACATACACAATGATTACTCAATATATAATTTTAGAGACAAAATATATACATACACAATGATTACTCAATATCTCACAATGAAAAGCATCCAATATTATATATTTGTCTCTAAAATCCAAAATGTCTTAAACGTCCAAAATAAGATAGGAGCAGCCTAATCCATCCAATCAAGGAACAGAAGAAATTCCTCGAAGAATGTCCTCCTGGGACAAGCTCGAACGCCTCGAGTCTACAAATATCCTAGCAAGACTCTCTTGTGGACAAACCTTGAGCACTGGAAGTAGAAATGTTAGTAGTCGAAACAGGACGAGCAGAATGTGGTATATCGGTAGCAGGCTGAGGAATTAGAGCACGACGAGTAAAATATGGTGGATCATTAGGAGTGGGAGCAGGACGAGCACCCTGAGAATTAAACTATAAAGTAATAGCAATGTATGAGTGTATACATGTCTGAGTTATTAAGTCTATGTGTATATTTATGTGTGTATAAGTATAAGATGCGTGTATATTTTTTGTATGCCAGTATACATGTGTATATGAGAGTGTGTGTATATTAGCATATGTACTATATTGTTATTAATCCAATGCATCTAAGACCTAAGCTCCTCTCTGAAACTATCCATATTAGCTACCCGAGTGCTAAGATCAGCCACCTCACGATGTAGTTCCTGATTAGATGTGTCAATTTCCTGTATGGAGGATGCCCTCAAATAAGACTGAGTGGAACCAATGCCCATGGCTCTTTCATAACCACTGTGATGCCCTCCGTACAGGGAATCTAACATCTGGGTGAAAGAAAGTGCATCGTTCTTTGTGGTTGATCGATCCCTGATAAGGTTGCCTTCTCGATGACTCGATTCTACACGATACAAAGCAGTCAAATGTAAGTCGATAATGCAAAAGTAGATATATTTAAGAAAAAAATAAAAAATAATTCCCAAAAAATCTGCAAAGATCGTTGATCACTAAACCGACTGATTTAGGAAGAGAAGTACTGAGAGAGAGTGGAAGAAGATGCTCCATAATAATATGGTTATTATGACTCTTCAATCATTCGATCTTGCCTTTAACAATCTTTATCTTCTTACTATTAACAATCTTTATCTTCTTACTAAATGATCCTGAAAACCCTATAAGAACCTTCAACTCATGTAACACCTAAAGAAACTTTTTCTTTTCAGCTGGTGACATGTGATACACGGCATTGGGGTGTACAAACTGGTATGGATTGCCTGCCTTCGGTATATGATGAAACTCTTTTCTAATGTTCCACGCCTGGAGATCTCTTCAAGCTTCGAGGTTATCTTTTGATTTTCCATCTTTACGGAGAAGTAAGTTAAGTATGTGCTCAGATACTTCCTTCTCAATGCGCATGACGTCTAGATTGTGCCGCACTTTATTTGTCTTCTAGTAGGTAGTTCGAAGAAGATATTTTTCTTGTTCCATCCCTATGGTGTTTCTTGTCTTCCCTAAACTTTTTTGAAAGTCACGTTGTTTTTACCACTCCACTGAGCAAGTATATCCTCACCGGATAATGGGTCTGGACGCGGGCGATTCTCTTTAGTACCATCAAAGTGAATGATGTCATTTCTGTATGGATGATTTTCATCCAACATGCGCCGATGGTTGCAATAACAAGTCTTATTGCTAAAGGGTAGCCTTCTCGATGTTGGCTGGAGATGACAGTAAGGACATGCAGTGTAACCATGTACAGACCAATCAGATAGCATTCCATATGTAGGAAAATCATTGATTGTCCACATTAAGGCTGCACGCATGGTAAAGTTTCTTCCCGTGTCCGCATCGTATGTCTCCACACCATCGATGAATAAAGACCATAACTCTTCGATAGGAGGTCGAAGATAGACGTCAATATTGTTTCTCGGTGACTTATGACCATCAATAAGAAGAGGCATCATAAAATATGTTTGGTCCATAGCTAACCACGGTGAGAGGTTATAAACCATTATCACAACGGGCCATGTGCTGTGGGGATTGCCCTTAAAGTTGAAGGGGCAAAAGCCATCACTAGCCAATCCCAACCTAATATTGTGAGGTTCCTGACTAATTATTGGGTGCCTACTGTCTAAATCCTTCCATGCAGATGTATCTCTAGGATGACTCATTCGTCCATTTTCACTTGGATGTGCACGATGATGCCAAGTCATCACCACTGCTGATTTCTTACACTTAAATAGCCTCTGCAGCCTCTATGTTATGGGAAAGTATCGTACTATCTTGATATGTATATATTTCTTCTGACCATGTACTTTCTTCTTATATCTAGTCCCCCTACAAGTAGGACACTCTCTCTTATCTGAATTTTCTTTCCAGTAAATTATACAATTCTTGGGACATGCATGTATCATCTCACACTTCAGACTAAGATTAGACATTATCTTTTGAGCTTCATACCAGCTCTTGGGCACATGGTTCCTTGGAGGCATAAAATCTTTAAGAAACTTGAGGAGCATCATAAATGAGTTGTTGCTCCATTTATTTAGACATTTAATCTAGAATAAATAGATGAACCATGACAGTGTGGAGTGTTTTGCATTCTCATAAATGGGCCTCCTAGCATCATTCATGTATTTATCATAATTGTCTTCACGATGTCCTCCTACGGAAGGAAGATCTTCAGTGGGGTTAGTGTTACCAAGAGCTACCTCAACCATTTCCTCCATTTCGTCATCGAGAAACAAGTTGTCTTCTTCTTGTTCTTCTTCATATGCATCACTGAGACTTTTAATTTCTCCATGATATACCCAAGTTTTGTAATCGCTAACAATACCATTCTTTACAATATGAAGTTCTACTTATTCCTCCAATTGATGTAACTTATTCACACATAATTTACATGGACAAATGAGTCTCCCATGTCGGACCATATCGTGTCCACGTACAAAGTCTATGAAAGCACTAACTCCATTAACAAAAATAGATTGCATGTGTTTTGCACAACACACATACATCCAATTCTTATCTATGATGTAGTTATGGGCCATGCTAACTGTTTGCGTCAAAAGTTGCTCTTGCTGTGGAATTCATTATATCTTCGATCGATTACAACAAATTCAAAAGAATAGCCTTTTTATAAGACCTCTTTTACACAACAAAATAAAAATTACAACTCTTGAGAAACAAACGCAGGATCGTTGTTTGGATCGCTGCTTGCGTGGGATCTTTGCCTGTGCCGGGAGCGCTTTGACTTGTGGACCACCGAATCACAGATTCTGATTGAACCGTGAGGGGTTTAATGATTCTTCCTTCGTTTATCGAAGTAAGAATTTGAAGCGAATAACTTATCGATGTAAGATGTTCACTCTTCTAAAGATCAAGTCAGAGCTTAGATCTCTAGGAATCGCCAGAAGCTTCTTGAGGATGTTTGTGAAGAAGGAAGACTCTCTTTCTTGCTCTAATTCACCAAAAAAAAAACTCAAGGCTCTCTGCTCTAATCTGCCCTCCCTCTTTATTTCGTGCCTAGGGAGGTATTTATAGGGGTAGGGATGCACAACAGTTGAAACGGAGGCAAAACAACTGACTCGATGAATCCTCTTTGGCCGCTGCAGTCGACACTGCCGCGGCTATTGGCGCGGCAGTGTGGACTGCCGCGGCCAAAGAGACGGTTACCAGCACGTTCCATCGTGTTCTCCTACGACCTTTAACCACTTTTTTCGTGGTTTAACTGCTTGTACACGTCAGCACACGTTCCCTTTCTGATATGCTGCCACGTGGTCTTCAAAGAATCATCGTATAACTGCTTTATAACTGCCGCAACACCCCCATAATAGCCGCGGCACCATGAGCTGCCGCGCCTAAGGCGCGACACCTTTAATTGCAGCGCCTAAGGCGCGACACTCTGAACTGCAGCGCCTAAGGCGCGACACTCTGAACTGTCGCGCCTAAGGCATGTCACCCTGGCTCGCTTGTTGGTGTATTTATCATTGTGTCCACACTGCTCTTTTCTCATCCTTGAGTAGTGTTTGGATATCTATGAGCATTTTTTGACGCCTACAGATACCCCCTCCAAAGTATCTCAAACTCATTATTTTTGGAGAGGAGTCTGGGACACTTTGGATATGATAAGTTTTCCTTGCAATTTCTTCAGTACATTGTTGAGGAAGTTGCGTAACATAGTCTGTGGATGGCTTCAATTCTTGAATTCTTTATTTTTTAGCCTATTCAGTGCTTTGTAGAATAGCTAAAATTCCTCCGGTGCTGCGTTTATCGCGTGGCCGTTGTCGAAGTCTTGAATTTGAACCGCCGTCGAAGAATAGAGAAATAGTTTATACTCATATACTCTATTGGAGTGTTCGGGAAATAGTTTAACCTCATATACCCGTTGGGAGGTTCAAGGAGATGTAGTTTATACTCATATACTCATCGGAGTGTTCGGGAAATAGTTTAACCTCATATACCCGTTGGGAGGTAGTCAGGTTATTCTTAAGAATATTCTAAGTGATATTCTCCGGAAACTTCCTGTTGGGGGTAGGGAAACAGTTTAAACTCGTGTACCTATTGGAGTATTCAGGTTATTCTTAAGAATATTCTGAGTGATATTCTTTAGAAACTTCCTGTTGAGATTAGGGAAATAGTTTAGACTCGTATACCTATCGGAGTATTCTGGTCTCTTTTTTGTTGGTAGAGATGAACCCGATGATGGAGAGGAAGAATTTTATATTCTATCTCCTGGTCTCTTGTTTGTTGGTAGAGATGAACCCGATGATGGAGAGGAAGAATTTTATATTCTATCTCCTGGTCTCTTGTTTGTTGGTAGAGATAAACCCGATGATGGAGAGGAAGAATTTTATATTCTATCTCCTGGTCTCTTGTTTGTTGGTAGAGATGAACCCGATGATGGAGAGGAAGAATTTTATATTCTATCTCCTGGTCTCTTGTTTGTTGGTAGAGATAAACCCAAAATCGGAGAGGAAGAATTTTATATTCTATCTCCTGGTCTCTTGTTTGTTGGTAGAGATAAACCCAAAATCGGAGAGTCCTAACTGTTTAAAGGTTTGATCGTTCAATTTGTGGACCTCTCGTTCATGGAACGAATCGAGAGGGGATTTTGGCTTTGGTCCTAACTGTTTAAAGGTTTGACCAAATATGAGTTTTGTGAGGGAAGATTGATCTAAAGAAGTGATCGAATCTTATCTCAACAAAAGAGTATTCGGAAATCACCGTGGAGATGTAGTGTTTATCACTTTGTTTGTAATGATCAGGTTATCCCTAAGAAAATTACATATAGCATTCTTCCGAGAACTTCCCGTTACA